CCCCCCCCGGCGCTGGAGCCCGCGCCCCCCCGGCAGCGAAGCACCAGCAGGAAGCGGACAGTCTCTCCCAGGTAGAGATGGTTGCGCCGGGGCAGCGCCCGGTACCGGCCCGGGTCCCCAGCCAGCTCCGCGCGCGGTGGCAGCGGCACTGCCGGGAAGTACATCGAGTAGTCGCACTGGGACTCCATGGGCGGCGAGGACTGCGCGGGCCAGGGGCAGGGCGGGCCGGGGTGGTGGAGAGCCAGCAGCTGGCGTAGCGGGGAGTCCCGACACCCGACGGGGACTGCGCGCGGGGCCGGGGCCGGGAACCGGGACAGCGAACCCGGAACCGAGACCCTGTAGGGCCGGAACCGGTGCGGGGCCGAATGACTGGAGAAAAGACGGAAGCGGAAGGGAGGGGGCGTGGCCTCTGAGGCCCCGGAATTTGTGGTTGACCCGACCTCAGGGGAGAGGGGCGGGGTTCGGCTGTGGTTAGGATGCAGCAAGAAGGATTTAGGAGAGACTATAGACAGGCTTTTTAGAGAAGTAATATTAAAATTAAAAGAAGCCCTTCCACCTCTGCTTTCCCGAGGAAGATGCTCCATCCCCTTCCCTTTCTGCCCTACATAAAGCAAGTCCAAGTTTCAAATGATTTATTCATTCAACAAGTATTTCATAGTGAAATGAGCATAGCTCAGTCACAAACATTTCATAGAGAAATGGACGGATTATTCTAATCCACCGTGTCCCAAACTTTCTCTGGCTTACACCATGGTTTGCTCCTCCAGGGAGCCTTTGAGAGTGGTACATGGACCTGCCAGGGGGCTGGAAAGGGGAAGGGGCAAAACGGGGACGGAGGAGTGCTGCTAGTAGCTGAACAACTGAATTCCTTCGCACAGCCTGGAGGACTTTAGGGCCACATCAGTGCAAAGTTCCAATAATCCTGTAGGGGGCAGACTTGCTTTCTGAGGGAAGCAGAAATGGCATCTGGCTGGCCCACACACTTGTCACATGTGTCTTGTAGCTTAACTGCTTTTTAACCTAAGACTCAGCGGTCTAATGCTCTTTAACCTAAGATTCAGTGGTCTAATGCCTAAGGGGAGAGTACCTTTGAGGTCTTGAGGGGCAGAGAGACTTTTGGAGGGAACTGCTTGGCATCTAGCTTGTCCTTGTACTGTAGCTCTGGGGTAGCCAGGCGCTCACACTCCTCCTGGTCTTGGAGGCTCAGTCCACTCCGAAGTGCATATCCCAAAACCTTACCTGACCCAAACTGGAAAGGACGGAACCGTCGGTCAGTGATGTATTTGGGGTCTAAAGCCTCACCCCCTAGCAGACAATGTTTAGCCAGGGCCTCTCGGCGAGCCCGGAGCTCCGCCACTGCACTCTCCAGCCGACTCTGGCCGTATTGCTTTATTCGTGCCCACAGACTACGGTTGAAGTGAACATAAAGAGCCCAGTCCAGATTGTTCCAGACTCGAGCCCTTGCAGTTAGCTGCCTGTCCTCAGCGGTCAGTCCACCATTGCTGACAGTGCTTCTGCCCTGTTCATTTCCAGCCTGGGCATTGTGCATGAAGCCCACCACATCATCTAGACCCCAGCACAGAGCATCTGCCAGCAGAACTAATGACTCATCAAAGTACTCGGCCACCAAGACCAAGTCAAAGACAGAGTCCAGCCAGGCCAGACTCCACTGGATGAAAGATGAAGACCCCAAACCTAAAGCAGCATGGCTGGACGTCTGGCTGTGACCATCAGCAGCAGTGGGAGCAGGATGAAAGAGAGTATTGGTATCCAGGGTGTGGGCTCGAGAGCCAATGCCAGAAGTCAGGACATGCAGCTCTGGAGTCTTGGGGTCTCTGGGGGGCTGAGGATATCCTCTCTTGGTCCTCATCTCGGGGGGGAAAGGGAGGCCAAAGTCGAACCATAGCAAGTTGCGTGCATAGTGGTCTCCCCGGGCCCCAGGTCTGTAAAAGGCTCGAGGATTAGCTAGGAAGGCAGCCAAGGAAGGTGCCTTGCGGAAGGCCGATGAGGTGGATTTATAGTAGGAGAAGGCAGAGCGGGCCAGAGCCGCTGGGTCTCGAACAATGGAAAAGAAGAAGCTGTCAGAAGGCATGACCTGAAGTACCTGCAGAGGAGAAAAAACAGACATAGGGAGAAAGAAGTGGGCCAGGAAGAAACTAATTGCAAGCCTAGTGCCCACAGATCCCCCAGCTTCCTCAGACCTCCTCCTGACAGCTCTACTAGGAACCCCCAACTTTCTTCACTAGCTGACAGGTCTTGGGTAAGTTACTAATGACTCTAAGACTCAGTTTGCTCATCTACAAATGGGGATACTCGTACCTTCCTTCCCAACTGATTATGGAGGTTACATGGGATAAAGGATGTGAAGGAACCTGCAACGTAGGAAGCACCTGGAGAACATGTATTTCCTTTAGCATTTCTGTCTGCCTTGGTCAATATAACCTCTAAGAAGCAAACTTTGTGTTCACTTCTCCAACAAAAAACTATTCAGTGCCTACCTTGGTACTCTTGGTCACTGCTCCAAGAAAGGAACTGGCCTCAGGCCTCTTCAGTAGGGGTGGGGGTCACTGGCAGCAAATAGAGAGGCAACCATAATGCTGTCTCAGGTATAGGTGGGCAGACAAGCCCAGGATGGCCGAAGGACAGGGCACTTCTGGGGACCCAGGGCATCTTGGAGAGCAAAAGACACCTCTGGACTGGACACTGGGAGCCATGGCCACCTGGTAGGGAGTTTCCCTGAGGACTGGGACATTCGATTCCACTTCTCAGCAAGAAGGAAGGTGGGAATCAGGCTCAACTAGGCAGATGCACATCAGAAACCAGCTCTCGGGTTCCCTGAAGGGTTTCTGCCTCTGAATGTGACTCTGTCATTGAACCCGACTCTCAGACATGATTTCTTCCAAACTGCTCTGCTAATATGGGCATGCCTGCAGAGCAGAGCTGGTGAACTCTGTGTCTCTTTGAAGGAAGAAGAGAACAATGTAGAGAAGAGTCTGTGGCATCAGGTGGACCTGGAATAAAATCCCAATTCAGCCATTTACCAGTTATGTAACTTTGGGCAGTTTATTGAATTTCTCAGAGCCTTCATTCCTCCACCTATAAATCTGGGTAACACTTNTATGTAACTTTGGGCAGTTTATTGAATTTCTCAGAGCCTTCATTCCTCCATCTATAAATCTGGGTAATACCTTGAAAAATGTGGAAATACATAGAACACAATAGGTATTCAATGAATGGTAGTGACGATGAAGGTCATCATCCTAACCTCTGGAGAAACCTGCTTCAGAGATTGTTGTCATTGCCTCACTCCCAGCAGTGGGCCCTCATTGCCCATTAGATCCCACTCATGTTCCTCAGCTGCTTTCTCCAGCTCTGGCTTAATCAGGAGTGTGTCTGCAGCCCCCACTGAAGTTCTACCACCACCCCCCACACACACCTTTTACACACACATCCACACCACCATGTCTTTGCTGATATTTTGCTCCCTCCAAGAATGCCTAGTGTTCTCCTTACTACAAAATTATGCCCACCCTTTTCTTTAAAACCTACCTCTCCAGAAAACCCCACCTCTTTTTGATGAATATTCTCCCCATAGTTCCAAATACAAACATGCATATGCACACATGCTACGAAAGGCACTTTGACTTTGGAGTAGATGGGCCTGGTTTCAAATCTGATTAACAAGAGACCAGTCACTTAGCCTCTCAGAGTCTCAATCTCCTCTTCTGTATAATGGAGGCACTTATAATGCCTTCCTGGCAAGGTGATGGTAACATTAGTACCCAGAACTCAGGAAGTATTCAATAAAAGTTAGTCTCTTCCCTGTATGTTTTCATTTGCACATTGACTTTCTTCCTCCAAGAGCTTTCAGGTTTCTGTGTGTGTTCGATTAAACATGTGAGCTCATGTAGCCATCTCCCCCATTTAGAACTGAGGCTCTCAGGGTGTCCAGGCTGGGCCATATGTGATTTTCAAAATCTGGCAGACATGTTAAGGGGAGTGAGGGGAAAACAGGTCAGAGGGCAGTGACTAAGCAGAGGTCCTGGTGGTGTCAATGGAAGGGGCCAAGAAGGGCAAGGGGCAACTGGAGGGAGAGTGGGGATGGGATTCAGAGTTGGCAGGGTGCTGACACCAGCTGGAATAGTTGGTCAAGGAAGGAGATGAGTATTCACCAGATGGGAGGGGTCAGGACTTAAACTCTCAGAAACTACTAGGGGAAGGACAGCTGAGGAGAGAACAGGAAATTTCACCTTTGTGGCCCCATGCCCAACTTATGGTCTTGGCCACAGGCCTGATCCCATCCCTCTCCAGTCCCACCCACGCCCTCTACACCCCTCACCTCTTTCAGGTTGAACCTCATGTGATGACAGAGGATGTGGAAGTGGGGCTGGGTGCCTCCACCCTGAGGGTGGAAGCCTTTGACCCAAGAGGCCTGGAAAAGCCTTGGGTAGCCAAACTGGTAGCGGGTGGGGAGGGCGAAGCGCAGCCCACGTTCGTCCCCATAGCGATGAAGCAGGCTCAGCACAGAGCTGCTCCCCGATTTATGCGTCTTCAGGAATACCAGTTGCTGCCGGGGCAGACAGGATGGAACAGCTGGTCCTGGGGATGGGGCCCAGGGCTGTCGGAGCTGCAGCCCAGGTAACCTGGGGAGAGATGGGAGGGAAAGTGCCCTGTCCTTCACCAGCAGGTGGATGGGCATCTTGTGCAGCAAGGACAGAGGATGTGGAGCCTCCTCCAAGTTCCCAGGAGTCACAGCCTCAAGTAGGATTGGAAGGAGTGAGCAAGTGGGGGGCATATATCAGGCATTGGGGCAAGATGAAACTCACCTCCTCTGGAAGGGCCCACCCCAGAGCTGGAGGGCAAATCCGATGGTCATGAAGACTCCTAAAGCCACCCCCAGGCTCCGAGGCCCCCAGAGGCGCATGGTCCTGGTAGGAGACAGAGGGCCCATGTGGCACAGGGAAGGTTGACAGGGCAAGGGCAAAGCACAGAGGCAGAGACAGCTTGAGATAGCCTTGCAGCTGCAGAAGGCTCAGGCTCGAGATTGGGAGTCATTCCCCAGGCCTGTTTGCAGCCCTGGTTGAGTCTGCCCCCTGAGTTAGCAGATTTTTGCCTCTGTCAGCGTCTAGAAGGGAAATGAGGGAAAGGAGGAGAGTCTAAGCAAAGGGTAGAGCCTTCTCTCCCGCTG